GAAGGCCGTGCCAGCATCCTCTTGCAGCAAGCGCCGTTCATTGCACCCGTGGTCATCGATGCTTTCTCAGCTTCGGGCCTCCAGGTAAACGTCAAACCGGGCAAGTCTGCCTTTCTATTTCAATTTCGTGGGCTTTCCTCTAAAGGGACCAAACGTACCTTGGTACAAACGATGCACAATACCATTCATACGTATACGCATAGCATGGGGCCCATGTGTCTTCATCGTGTTCAAGAATATGTGCATCTTGGTACTAAGCATGATATGTCGGCGTCTATGGGGCCTGAACTGGCTCACCGTCTCTCGGGGTGTTCGCAGGCTTGGAGGGTTCTTCGTGGCAAGGTCTTTAAGCACAAAACTATCGAGATGCAGACTGCCTTGGTTTTCTTGGACTCGCTAGTTTGTTCTGGGAGATTACTTCAATCCAGCACATGGGGCTATCTTACACAGGCACAGCACAATCAGCTTCAAGACGGTCTCCTCCGTTATTATCGTGCCATAGCCAGACTTCCCCGAGCGGATGACACTGCCATGCCGTCCAAGTTTGTACTTGCACGAGTGGGCCGCCCACCGCTCGACGCACTTCTGTCTGCCCACAGGCTTCGCCTTTTTGGCCGCCTCTTGCTTTCAGGTCCGCCCCACATTATGGCTTTGGTTCACACTGCTATGGTTGAGACTTCCAGGACCTGGGGACACATGATTTTGGAGGATCTTGGATGGCTGCGTTTGTATACTCGGAGGTTTCAGGAGCTCCCCGACCCCCTCGAGAACCTACAGTCTTGGGAGATGGAGGCCAAGAAGTCAGCTGTGGGATGGAAGCAGACAATTAGGCAAGCGCTAGCATCTCACGTTCGGCATATTCAGCGAGACACTCTTGCTCGTGCTGCCGAAGACCAGATCTTCCAGATATTAGAATCAGCAGGGGTTCCACCAGCATGGGACGACCCACGGCATCGCCTACGCCAGCAGGAGAGAGAGGATGCCAATGTAGTTACTTGCATGTGGTGCTCGCGTTCCTTTTCTCGTATTCGAGGGCTTCGTACGCACATTCAGCGCGTTCATCACTCGAGAGTGGCGTTCATTCGTAATTGTCAGGGTTCGTCTCTCTCCTGCTGTACTTGTTTTCAGTCGTTTGCGCATCGGTCTGCTCTCACGGCGCACTTTGCATTCGACTCACTACCTTGTGCAATTGGCCTCATTGTGTCAGCACCGCAGTGCACGGTTGCAGAGGCCATCGCACTTCAGCAGCAGGAGGACGAACGAATGCGAAATCAACGAGCCTGTGGTCAAGGGAGGTGGCGTATCGAAGTCCCTGCGACGCGTCTTCCCAATTTCTCCCGTGACCCCGATATTGTGGCCCTTACCTTACAACTTACGCACCGTGATGCGCTTCAGCTTCTTTTGGAGGCTGACCCCGCCATCCCTGATGACCTCATCCCGCAGTATACTACTATATGTTCTGATGTTCCCTCGGAGCTCCCTGTCGTCCCCGAGACGCCCTTCTATGTCTATAACCCTGGCGAATATCCCGAGTTTCTGGCATCATCAGTTCCTATTCGCATCCGCCGTCCTACAGTGTACGCACTTCATCTCTACTGCGGGCAGCGTCGCAGAGGCGACGTCCAGTGGCAACTCGAGCATGAGATGCTCATGGCCGACCTCCATCTGGTGATTCTCAGCATAGACATAGCTATAGACGCCGACAGGGGGGACCTGACGAAGGAAGCGACACTTCTGGAATGGGCGGAACACATACGTTGCCACAGGGTCATCAACACAGGGGGGGGGGCCTCCCTGTGAAACTTGGTCAGCTGCCCGGTGGCACGAAGGAGGCCCCCCCCTCTCAGGTCTACTCAGTATATGTGGGGCTTACCTTGGGTGTCTCAGCGTCAGTCAGAGCAGCTTCGTATTGGGTCTCAGTTATTGCACGCGTTGGTCTGGCTCCTGGCGGAGCATCTGAGGGCTGGCACGGGGGGTTGGATGGAACATGCCGCCAACCCCACGTGGGCCCCACGGGCCCCTTCCGCGTTTCGCTGGCGGCCTCTCGAGGCCCTGGCCGCGGCCCCAAGCGCCGCGGTCACCACCTTCGATCAGTGCGAGCACCAGGGTCCCAAGGTGGACCCAGGGCAGGTGGGGCGAGCCCCCACTACTATCCTTTCTGTTCGCATGCCCACCCTGGACAGGCTCCTCAAGGCCACTCCAGGAGGCGGTAGATGTTCTCACCCGAGAGGCTCTCATCAGACCCTTCTTGGGAAAGCTGCCTCGGGTTCTTTTTACACGGCGTCTAAAAAGACTTACCCGCCTCTGATGTGCCAGGCAATCGCCTCGGCCATCGCGGATAGTGCCAGGTCTCTCCTTTCCTCGGCTGAGTCCTCCACCCCGCCCCGTGTTGACCTGGACTATCCAGAGGATGACGATGATATCCGCGAATCGCTAGCAGTGTTCTACGCCTCGTTTCGGCCTGCTGACCCTCCACAGGAGAGCCCAGCTCCTGACTTTGCAGGATTCTCGCGCAGGGGGTCTCACCGAGTCGACCCTGAGAGCTACAGGTTCGAGGACTCCGACACGGAGGAAGAAGCTACCTTTTCCCCAGATGTAGCCGAGAACGGACCGTGGCATGCTTCTCAGCCTCCCCAGCATTGCGAGGATGCTGAGGCTTCAGAGGAGCAGCAATACGTTGATCTTATGCATGGCTCCCCCGAGGAGCAAGCTGCAGAGTGGCTTCTCCTTCCTCCTCCGCCCCCCCCGTCGCCTCCTCTGCCTCCCCCTGCCCCTCTCGAGCTCACTTCGCAGCAGCGTGACCGCATAGCGGCCCACCGCGCTCTCGCGAAAGAGAGACGGGCTGCCCGTCGCAGAATCCAGGTGCCCACTCCCTCCTGCTTCGCCCCTGTCCCCCCCCCAGACGAGGAGGGTAGGCTCCAGGTGGCGAGGGAGGCCGCACGTTCGGCCTTGAACGCCTGGCTCATCAGCAGCTAGGCGGAGGGATCGGCGCCTTCTTTCTTTTTTGTTGTTGTTCGTTGCATCTTTTAGTCATAAGAGTTGCAGTCGAGTCAGCAGAGGAGCACGGATGTCCCCAAGCCCCGCGTTGCATCATCTCGTCCTCCTCCTCCTCCTCCTCCTCCTCCTCCTCCTCCTCCTCCTCCTTCTCCTCCTCCTCCTCCTCCTCCTCCTCCTCCTCCTCCTCCTCCAACCCCTCCTCCATTCCTTTTCCTTGTCAATAACTTCTCCCTGTCGCACCCCGAGGCCAGGTTTTGGGGCGGGCTGGGATTTTCGCCTGAAACTTCCTTACCACTTATGACTCTGAAGCTTCGAAATTGGCAACAGCTTCACGGATGGAGGGCGGGTCGTCTTCAAAGTGTGGCTCTCGCCTTAGCACGTCGCACATTCGTTTCAAAATGTTGCAAGAGCTTAACGGATTGAGGGCGGGTGGTTTTGAAAATGTGGTTCCCGCCCTAGCGCGGCCGCACATTTGTTTTAAAAGTTTGCAAGGATTTCACGGATTGAGGGCGGTTCCTTTTCAAAATGTGGCTTTCACCTTAGCGCCGCGCACATTCGTTTACAAAATGTTCGAGAGTTTCACGAGTTCCCATCATCAACGTACCAGAATTGGCGTTCGGGAGTGATTGAGGATTTGGAGGGCGGTTGGGTTTACACTGGTCCTCCTCCTCCTCCTCATACCCTTCTCCTCCTCCTCTTCCTCCTCCTCCTCCTCCTCCTCCCCCTCCTCCTCCTCCTCCCCCTCCCCCTCCTCCTCCTCCTCCTCCTCCTCCTCCTCCTCCTCCTCCTCCTCCTCCCCCTCCTCCACCTCCTCCTCCTCCTCCTCCTCCTCCTCCTCCTCCTCCTCCTCCTCCTCCCTCCCTCCCTCCCTGGGCGGGCTCTCGAGGCCCCGAGACGGCCCAGTGGGGCCCCCAGACAGACCCCTGGGGGCAGGAAGAGGAGCCCAAGATTTAGGAGGCAACTACTGGGAGGCTTTCGTCGGATAGGGAGGCTTTCGTCGGATAGATTAAGGAGGATTAAGCCCCATTGGGGGGCTGTTATGACGGAGTGGGCCTCGGATTAAGCCGGATTAAGCCGGATTCAGCGGGATGAAGCGGGATGAAGCGGGATTAAGCCGGATTAAGCCGGATTTCGGACAAGGGCGAAACCGAATTTGACCTCCCAGGAGTTGCATCCGAACAAGCTGACCCACGAGAGGGTCCAAAGACGGCCATGGGAACCCCTCAGGACGGCCCAAAATCGGGGATCTCCTGGTCCGGGTCAATCCCAGACCGGGTCCGTCAGGCCTTGCAGGATCCTGCGGGATCCTGCACCCAAGCCCAGGTCGGTGCGACCCTGGCCCTGCAGGATCCAAAAAGGGGGCAGCGAACGGTCAAAAGGAACGCGGCAGGGAATCCGCTCTCTCCTCGCACCAACGTCGGCCCCGAGACCCCATCAGTCCCCGGAGAGGCCCCACAAGATGCTTCCAAGAGGACCCCAAGAGTGCCCTAGAAGCACAAGCTGCCCCTTAGAGGACGAGGGCCCCGACGGTCTCCAAAAAGTCCAAATCTCAGGAAGCCTCAGCCTTCCCGACAATGGCTTTCAACCGTTCTTTCCACTGCGCCTTGACCCACTGACCAGGCGCGATGGTGGGATGCGCCGAAGGACGCTGAGTACTTGCATGGGGACTGTGATTGACAATGATACCGTGCTTTCTTGACAATCTTACATGCGTGAAGATACGCGACTCTTCATCTCAAGGTCTCATGCTGCACAAAGATGTTGCTGCGACTACCTCCAGCGTTCGACCGATGAAGATGTCAGGGATGGGGGTCGATGCAGCTATGCGCACACTTCTGAAACGTGCGCCGCCGTCACCGTCGGGGGTGAGACACGTCCACCGTACTGTAGCAGGGCATGGGCCGTGACACCCCCCAGAACGTGCTCTAAAGAATGTGGCTCATCCCCAGGCTTGCCGTCCGAAGTATGTTGACCTGCTCTCGGCACTCCCAGGTGCCCGCGGCCTCCAACTCGGCCTTCTCGCCGCTCTTCTGCTCGGCCGACTTCGAGTCCGCTGCGCGCTTCTCCCCGGCATCTGCAATGAACTCCTCGGGCGAGAGGCACCGTTTATCACGCACTATGCCGCGATCCATACGTCCACAGAGCCGACAAGCGCGCACAGAATTGCATCACGATCGCTCCGAGAGAAGTCAAACGGGGATGGCTTCATCAAATCGTAGTGTGGCGACGAGGGAGCGAACTGGGGAGAGACTGCTGCTCATCCCTGGTGCTGCGTGAGCCTTTCGCAATCGTGGGGCCCTCGCTAGCGTCCTCACTTTTGGCATGATGTGGGCGTCGTTGAACAATTGTCGTCGCCTGGCCTATTTCGTCCTCGCCACCGTCGTGCTTACATCCGTTCCGTGTACACAAGAGCTGTTCAAGTAACAGCTTGTACTGAGTTCGCCTGGTTGCCAAGGCTCTCCCCCTGGGCCACGCCCCCATTGGACACCACGCTCCCCCCAAGGGCTCCCAACTTCGCGCTTCGCGCTGCGCGCAGCGCGAAGCGCGAACAACTTCGCGCTCTCGCGCCGCCTCCCAGGGGAGAAGGGGAGGATGAGGAGGAACCGGAGCCGCACCGCGAGGGGCGAAGCACGAATAACTTCGCGCCCTCGAGGGCGCCCTTGCCCACTCTGCCTGATCTGGGCTTCCTGACTGCTGTGGCCGTCGCCATTTTCACAGCACGCCCGGCAACACGAAGACGGCCGGCGAGGGCGATGGAGAAGACCCACGGGCAGATGCGGGGAGGCGGCGGCGAGGGGGTGCGGAGAGAAGGCAGGCGCCGCCACGCGCGCGCGTGCCGACGGATCGAGAGCTGGCCGCGCTGGCAAAAAGGAAGCAGCGCCGGTGGAGTGCAAGACTCTTCCTCCTGGTCCTGCGAGCGTGGGGGCAAGAGGGATCAGGACGAGGATGCGGATGAGGATGGCAGTGTAGGCACTGGCCCGCGGACCCCCCTGGCTGGATGGAACTGGGGCGATGAAAAGCCTCCCGTGGGCTGCTGGAGCGACACCGTAGCCCGCTGGAACGCCCTGGCCCGCATTCCCCGCAGCCTGCTGGGACGCCGCCGTGGACTGATGGAATGTCACGCAAACTCGTTACTATCATTGGCGGCGCGCACAAGGGGTAGGGGGGAAGGCTTCTCAGAAGAAGACTGCTTCTCAGAAGGCGTTGGCCCTACATCTATGGATAAGGCCCGCGCCTTCTAAGAAGCAGGGGTGCTTCTAAGAAGCCTTCCCCCTCCCCCATGCTGCCCCTCTGCGCGTGGCCGAGATGGAATGACACGCAACCTCTTTTCTATCAGGGGGTGTAATCACCAAGACTGTGCCTGAAAACCAGCACGGGTGATGTGACCGAGACCAGCGCCAAGTTTTCCGAGCGCGCCAGGGTGTGACCGAAACGCTCGGTTCGAAACCACAGCGACGTTGAACTTCCGGGAGAAGAAGAGAGATGGGGAGCGCGCGACCACCGAATCACGTTACAGGTGACTGGCACGGTAGCGTGAAGCAGAAGACCGCCAGGCAAACGGGGATCGCTACACGAGCCGACCTGCCACAGGCCAGCTCATGCGATAATATACAGTGTGGGTGCGGCCGCAAGAAACCCTCGCAAGAAACCCAGCCCTGAGAACCCGTGCGCGAGGTGCACCCGAGGGGAAACCCAGAGCACCCCGAACGCAGCAGCTCCCTCAACGGCTGCGGGATACCCTGACGAAAAGCAAATTGTTTCTCGATGCGCGCCCCCACTGTATGGCCTCGTCGTAGCTTCGACCACAGTTTCGGTCACACCACGTTTTCGGCACAACTGAAGGGGCCCCAGGACACACAAATAAATAGACACAAATAACAAGATTCACCATATTTTCCCATATTTTCTGGGTTTTTGTCTTCCCGCCCAATTCCCATATTTCCCCATATCTTCTGGGAATCGACGATTAATTGTGTCTGTGTGTTTTTTTCCCTCCTGATGTATGGCCTCGTCGTAGCTTCGACCACAGTTTCGGTCACACCACGTTCTCGGCACAACTTCGGGCACGCGCTCGGCCGCCGATGCCTCGGCCGGCCGCCTCTGCGGCCGACGCGGGGGCGGGCGCCACGAGGACTGCTCCGCCCCGGCAAACACGAGGTGCTCGAAGGCTGCGCCGCCTGGGGACACGAACACACACCGACTACCTACCAGACCACCCCAAAACCCAACCCGACGACCCGAGTCTGACCCGAATGCGACCCGAATTTCGGGTCGGGGGGGTGACACGGGTCCCATGCGCTTTTTCAAAAAGTTCCCCGAACCCCCCCCCCCTGGAAAGGGAGGGAAACTGGAGGCCTTCGGCTCGGGTCGGGGTCGTCTGGTGGGTGGTGACGCGCGCCGTCAGCCACCACGGAGGACGAGGGAGGGACCTGGGCGGGGGGGGACTTGCGCTGTGCGCGCGCCGCGTCTTCCAGCGGGCCCGGCGGCGACCACGACGGCACGCGCCTCCTGCTCTCGGACCGGGCAGGTGGCGGCGACACGCGGCGCGGACGGGCGAGAGGGCGCGCGCACGCGCACGAGTGCCCGCGGGCGCGTGCGCCGCTCGATGCTCACACATCCTCGACGAGCACCGAACCACCAGGGGTATGTGAGGCGTGTCCCCCTACAGGGGGATTTTCGACGTGAAATGAAAAATACCCCAAAATGCTCCAAGAAGGCCAAAAAATACTCAAAACATAGCCCCCAGACTATATCTGGACCTTTTTTTGATTATTTTTGAAGCATTTTTTTTCGTCGAAAATCCCCCTGTAGGGAGGGGGGCACGCCCGACTCCAGCCCAGTCCATGTTGTCGTGCCCCCGATCGCGCTGGAGAGTAAACTTGCACGCCGGGACACCCCGAGGCAAACGCCGCTCCCATCGCACTGCGGGGCCCCATCCCAGAAACAGTCTCGAGCACCCAGAGCACAGCATCGAAGCAGCGCCGAACGAGCCTCGCCTCCCGGGTGCTGCGCCAAAGCGTCTGGTGCAGCCGACGTGCCTTGGGAGGCGTCGGAGGTGCGAGCTCGCGGGCGCGCAGGCCTCCCCTTGGAGAGCTGCGCGCGGGGCGCGGGGCGCGCGAGAGGGCGCACTGTGGAGGCGGCTGCGGGGGCTGCGTTGGATGGACCCCGAGAAAATCCGCCAACAGGGGGGGAGTGAAACTAAAATTTGGACGCCCGAAATGGGTACGGAACGAAAGGGTACAATGCCCAACAGCAAATGTTGTCCCAAACCAACCGCGGCCGCTGTTGTGCAGGCGGCCTCCTGTCTCGAATGAACACAGGCCGCGGCGGCGTGGACAGCGAGTTCTGCTCAAAATGAACCAGATCCGCTGTTGGGCTTTGTACCGCGGACCCCTCCCAGGGTTAAGTCGGGCCTGTCCCCCTACAGGGGGGATTTTCGACGAAAAATAAAAGATACCCCAAACATATTCCAAAAATAATGGAAAAAATAGTCTGGGGACTATTTTTCAAATATTTGCTTGCCTTTTTGAGGCATTTTTGGGGTATGTTTTATTGGTTGTCGAAAATCCCCCTCTAGGGGGACAGGCCCAACTTAATCCCAGGGTCCATCTGGTGCAGTTTTCCTCCCCGGATCGGTGTTTTGACGGTCCCAGGGCCCGAAAACGACCCCAGAAGGACGAACAAAACAAAAACTGCCGAACTCAGACCTTCGGACATCGCCCCCCCTCTGCCCCCCTTGCTGCTGGCCGGAACCCGTGCTGCGCCACCTCAGACCCCCCACCGGCTGCAAGCAAGAAGTCGTACACCTGGAGGTGCGTAGGATTAGGTCGGGCATGTACCCTACAAGCGGAACTTGGACGAAAAATACAAGATACTCGAAAAATATCAAAAACTGTCCAAAAGAATCGAAAAATCGCCCCAAAACTATATATGTTTAACATATTTAGGAGATTCCTCCTGTAAAGGTACATGCCCGACTTAAGCGTAGAACGCGAATGTGTAAACAAAAAAAACAGAAAAACTCCTATCTCGCAGCGGGATCGGCCACCCTGAGAGGAAGTGGAGGAGAGGGGGGAGGCGAGGGGAAGAGGAGGAGCGAAGGCAGACACGGAGGGAGAAAGGCAAAAGTCGGCTGGGGTCCTCGTACTCCTTCTGGGCCTCCTTCTCCTCCGTGGCCATCATGGTCATCTCCTTGTCCAGGTCCGCGATCAGCAGGTCCTGGCGAACAAGGGAAAGAGGAACGCAGCCCCGTGTCGTGCGGACGGGGGGAGGGTCAAGGGAAGGGGGGGGAGGGCGAGGGGGGGGGGGCCAATTGTGCGCGCTCGCGCCCTATCTGGCATCCTTCGGGCGTTGGCGGGACTGGGCTTCGTGGGGCGTGGTTTAGTGATGTGTACCGGAAGACGCCCCCCTCCCCCGCCCCACTCCACGAGCGGGAACTGCCGCCACCCAAAGAAGCACCAGCTACGGCAGAGTTGGCGCACCGATTCTGACACATGCTTGTTGGCCTCTGGGCCCAAACAACTTACTGGGTCCCCTCGCCCCACGTCCTGGCTACATCCGAATCCTACGGTTAAGTCGGGCATGTCCTCCTACAGGCGGATTTGGGGCGAAATGCAAAAAAATACCCAAACAATATTCAAAAATTATACATTGAATTATTTGTTGATAATCTTTTGTGATATATATATATATACACACATACACATATACATATGTGTATATATATATATATACTAGAACCATCGCGCGCGCTTCCCGCGCGCTCAGATTCTAGCCCAGGCCGGGGGGGCGCTGGACGATCTTGGACAACGCTATCAAGCACAGGCGCGCGACGGCATCTGAGGAGCTTCTGGGGTGTTCCGCATGCTTCGTCAACTGGCTGTTGGAGGCACCTCTTGGGTGCCTCTTGGGGGGGCGTCTGAGGGTCCCTTGGGGGCATCGGTTCTGCAATCTGAAGCCGTCATTGGCCGTCTTGGCTGCGTGGAGGCCCGGCTTGAGGCCACCTGCGGCCAGATGGAGGCAATCCGGAAGCCTCCCGGGGGCCTCCTGGAAGCAGTTCTGATGCATTTGGGGCACCCTTGGGCTATTTTCAAACCTCTTGGACGTCTCCCAGGGGCCTTTTGGGCCCTCGGGGAGCTTTTGGGGTCCTCGTCGGACCACTTTGGGGCCTCTTGCAGCCTCCTGTGGGCCTTGTGGGGGGGCCGCTCTGCTGTTGGGTCGCGTTCCCCTTCTCGGGCCTCTCTTGGGGCTCTTGGGGCCCTCTCGGGCCGTCTTGGGCGCCTCAAGCACCGTCTTGGGGCCCTCGCGGGCCGTCTTGGGGCCCTCTTGGAGGCCTCTTCCTCTATGCGGGAACGGTATTGGAAGCCTTTGGGGCCGTCTTGGAGCATCGGGATGCCAAAAGGCCGGAAAAAAAAAGACGTCAAAGCCCAATCGTAAAACAATGAGTTGTGCCTCTTGGGGCCACCTTGGGAGATCTCTTGGAGCCTCGTCGGCCCTCTTGGGAGATTCTTTGGGGCCTCTTGGATCCGATTGGGGGCCTCCTGGGACTTCCCGAGAACCTCTCGGGGTAGAAAGCTCGGATTCTCGGTTCATGTTCCCCTTCTTGGGCCTCTCTTGGGGCCATCTTGGGGCCCTCTCGGGCCGTCTTGGGCGCCTCAGGCACCGCCTTGGGGCCCTCGTGGGCCGCCCAGGGCCCTCTTGGAAGCCTCTTCGGCTATCTTGGAGCTGTCTGGGAGGCCTCTTCCTCCTCCTCGTCCCCCTCCTCCTCCTCCCACTCCACTCTCTCTCTCCTCCTGATCTTCCTCCTCCTGCAGCGTGTTCCGGAAGGCTCCCGCCGGAACATGCTGTGCACAAGTGCTGTCACTGCTCCCGCCACCGTGCCCTGGGTGGTGGGTCAGAGGCCTCATGGGTGTTGGTTTGGATCTCGTGGTTGGCCTGTCGGGGAGGTCGTGAAGGCAGTTTCGCAGCTTCTCGGTAGCCGTTTTGGGACCGTTGTGGGGCCTCCTCGGGCTGCTTTGTGGCCTCTTTAGGCCTCGTTGGGGCCTCCTGGGTGCCTCTTGGGGGCCTCCTGGGGCCTCTTGGGGGTTCCTTGGGGCCTCCTGGGACACGCTTCAAGCGGGAGGGTCGAATTTGGGAGTCGTGGTCCCCCTCTTGGGCGCATCTTGGGGCCGTCTTGGGGCTCTGTTGGGCTGTCTTGGGCGACTCTGGGGCCGTCTTGGGGCCCTCTTGGGCCGTCTTGGGGCGCTCTTGGGGGCCTATTGAGCCGTCGTGGAACGTCGGACAGCCGAAAAGGCTCGAAGGCCAAAATCGTTCGAAAACCTTCGTAACATTGACGATTTCGGCCTCTGGAAGCGCTCTGGAGAGGCGTATTGAAGCGTCGTGGAGTGCCTTGGGGCGCCTCTCGGGCCGTCTTGGGCCTATCTTGGGCGTCCTGGTGCGGTCTTTCGGCGACTCGGGGCCCGCTTGGGCCGTCTTGGGAGCCTCTGGAGGCCCTCCTGGCCCATGGGGGGTCGGAGGCGGCGGCCTCCGAGGCCCAGGACGCGGAAACCTTGTAAAAACATAAGGAAAATGAGCCCCGGTCCCCCCATGGGGGGTGAAGGCACCTGTCCTGGGGCCCCCGGCCTCGCCCCCAGGGATATATATATATATATATATATATATATATATATAGAGAGAGAGAGAGAGAGAGAGAGAGAGAGAGAGAGAACAAAAAAAAAAAAAAAAAAAAAAAAAAACATATATACATATATATGTATACATACATATATATATATATATGCTACTCTCACCTGTTTTTGTGCACTCCGCCAGGGAGCTTGTCAGGCCAGGACCTCTGGGGGCTACTCAGGGGTTAACCCAGGAGTTGGGAGAGGTCCCGTCCCATCAGCGGCCACCAAGGGCCTCCCAACCCGCCTGGCACAGCCGTGGCGCTTAAGCACCCGCGCTGCGTCCCAGACGCGCTGGGCCCTTGCCCCGCCGGGAGGTTAAACGTCACCAACCCCTGACCCCCTAGCTCTCGTCCTGGCAAAAACTCGCGCGGAGGCAGGCACGGCCACGCGCGAGACGGTAGCAATGCTGCCCCCTGTCTGTGGGTGGGCCAACACAGCTACGGAAGATGGATGAAACTCACGCTATCCATCAACGGCGTCGCGCACGCTCAGGTGGACTCCGCATAGGTTTCCTTGGAAGGTTCATATATGCTACTCTCACCTGTTTTTGTGCACTCCGCCAGGGAGCTTGTCAGGCCAGGACCTCTGGGGGCTACTCAGGGGTTAACCCAGGAGTTGGGAGAGGTCCCGTCCCATCAGCGGCCACCAAGGGCCTCCCAACCCGCCTGGCACAGCCGTGGCGCTTAAGCACCCGCGCTGCGTCCCAGACGCGCTGGGCCCTTGCCCCGCCGGGAGGTTAAACGTCACCAACCCCTGACCCCCTAGCTCTCTCCACGGTCCCTACCCTGGCAAAAGCCGCTCCTTCTTGCTACTTATGCCCTCCACCTTGGTGTAATGACATGAGGGAAGAAAGGTGGAGGATGGGCGGGACAAACAGACAGGCAGCTCAAAGCAAGAACAGTCCATCTCGCCTCTGCTCGCAGGCATGTGCGAGCAGGTTGCAGCGCCTCCGCTGCGCGGGCGAGAGATTTAATTCAGTGGCTTCGGCGACGGCATCATGGACGTAAAAGCGGGCCGTGCGCGCCGATGCCATCTGCCTCGGAGCAGCGTCTGCTCATGGAGCTGTGGCTGCGGAAGTCGGCGGAGGCGCCTCCTGACGCCAGCTGTAAAGAGTGAGCTTGGCATCTTGCAGCTCCAGCAGCTCACGTACGCGGCCGAAAGTGGCATGAAACTGCTTGGCTCCATCTCGAGGCACCAGTCTTGTCCGTGCGCCTGAGCCTTTGCTCTGGCAAGGAGGGCGACCGCTACACCGTTCCGCACGAGCACGAACTGACGGGCACCAGTCTAATGCTGGCTCTTGGTGCTGCACAGCTGCAGCACGGCCATTTGGCGGACTGGATACAGCTGTACATCAGACCACGCGAGCGAGTCCTACTACCTTGCCGGAGGTAAGCGTCGTAGCCTGCTGCCAGCACCGCCGCAGCGCCACGCTGGCCCACGGCCGCCAATGCACCTGCGAACGCTGCTGTAGGACTGATCGGCAGCGCGCGCCCAGCTGACTCCAGGCGTTGTCGTTTGGCCAGCGCCAGCTGTCCCACAGGTGCCCTCGCACGGCCGGGAAAGTGTGCATGATGCCTGGAATTGCATTATTAAGTTCAACTAGAGATTCTCCGCTCAGCCAACGGCTCCCGATGAAGGCGGCCACGCCAGCGTCGACCTGAGCGGGCGTCTGCGGCTGCCGGTGCTCCTGAATCCAGAAAACAACGACCTCCTCGACCGCCGCACGATGCCGCCGCAGGGTGAGCGGCGTGTCCAACGCCCCCTCGGCGGCTGGGACCTCGCTGCAGCTCGTTGCGCCATCGCCTGGGCCGTGACCCGGCTCACCTTTGCTGGTGCTTGCGCTGCCCGCTTGCCAGGGGCGGCTCTCCTGGCTCTCGCCGGCGGCAGCACTGGCAGCGGGGCAGCGGCGGCCAAAGCCCCAGCGGGGCGGCGTGTCGGCGGGCATGTCGACGGTGTCGCAGTACTGGTACAGCGGGTACCTGGCCGTCGCGTGGAGCAGGGAGTTGAGCTGGCGGAGCGCGGGCTGCAAAGCCCTCACGCTCGATCTGCCCTTGGTGCTGACTGCCGTGAACGGTTGGGCATCCAGAAAGGGCAGGCAGCGGCAGCGGTGGCTCTCACCTGCTCGGCACCTCCAACGTGCTCCAGCCACCGCAGCCTCCAGCTCCAGCGCTGAGATGTGCCCGGGCCGCTGCCAGCGCAAGCCTGGCTGCTGGAAATCGGGGAACACGTTCCAGCTCGCCTCAGGCACGGGCAGTTGGCCCCGCCGACGCCTCGCGTCCCAGATGAGGCTGCCGTCCCCGTAGTTGTCGACCTGGTAGCGGTAGCTGTCGGCAGCCCAGCGCCCCGCGGCCAGCACCGAGGCGCAGTCGGGGCCCACGGGCCGGAACGGCGGGTGGCGTCCCGGGATCGGCCTCGTGAAACACGGGAGGTCCGCCTCTGGGTCCAGCGTCGACCAGCCCTCCAAGACCGAGGTATTCAGTGGGAGCCTCTCCACCACAAGCAAAACCTCGAAACTCGCGGCCTCCCTCACGCCCTTGGTCTCGTCAGTGA